GTAGTAGTAGTAGTAGTAGTAGTAGTCGAGTAGTAGTAGTAGTAGTAGTAGTAGTAGTAGTAGTAGTAGTAGGAGAGTAGTAGTAGTAGTAGTAGTAGTAGTAGTAGTAGTAGTAGTAATAGTAGTCGTAGTAGTAGTAGTAGTAGTAGTAGTAGTAGTAGTAGTAGTAGTAGTGATAGTAATAGTAAAAGTAGAAGTAACAGTAGTAGTAGTAGTAGTAGTAGTAGCAGCAGCAGCAGCAGCAGCAGCAGTAGTAGTCAGTAGTAGTAGTAGTAGTAGTAGTAGTAGTAGTAGTAGTAGTAGTAGTAGTAGTAGTAGTAGTAGTAGTAGTAGTAGTAGTAGTAGTAGTAGTAGTAGTAGTAGTAGTAGTAGTAGTAGTAGTAGTAGTAGTAGTAGTAGTTTGTAGTAGTAGTAGTAGTAGTAGTAGTAGTAGTAGTGGTGGTGGCTGGTGAGAGAGTAGTTTTTTGTAGTAGTGGTTGGTGGTTGAGTGTGTTAGTAGTGTAGTGGTAGTAATAGTAGTAGTAGTAGTAGTAGTGTAGTAGTTAGTAGTAGTAGTAGTTAGTAGTAGGTAGTAGAGTAGTATTCGTATATATTATTATTATTATTAGTAGTAGTAGTAGTAAGTAGTAGTAGTAGTAGTAGTAATAGTAGCAGCAGTAGTAGTAGTAGTAGTAGTAGTAGTAGTAGGTTGTAGTAGTAGTATAGTAGTAGTGTAGTAGTAGTAGTAGTAGTAGTCGTAGTAGTAGTCGTAGGTAGGTCGTATAGTAGTAGAGTAGTAGTAGTAGAAACCCAAACCCAAACTAGTAGTAGTAGTAGTAGTGTAGAGTAGAGTAGTAGTAGTAGTATTAGTAGTAGTAGTAGTAGTAGTAGTAGTAGTAGTAGTAGGAGGAGGAGGAGGAGGAGGGGGAGGAGGAGGAGGAGTCCCTCTTCCTCCACCTGCCGCTGCTGCAGCTCCCCCTCCCGCTCGTGGTACCGCTCCCGAGTACGGTCCGCCAGCGGCTCCCGCCGCCCCAGCGCTCCCTGCTCCCCCTGCGCCCCTCCGCTCCCCTCCGCTCCTCCTCTTCGGTGCCATCCCCCCCTCACCCCACGCGGCCTGACCAGGATGCAAGGGGGTGCCACGGGAGGGCGAGGAGACGGAAGGGAGAGGAGGGGAAGGGGAGGGAGGGAGGGGGGGAGAGAGAAGCGGCCAGGGAGGCGCAGGACCCGCCTCGCTGCGCCTGGCGCCCGTGCTCCTCGCCCCCCCCCCCCCCCCTCCCCTTCCTCCTCTCCCGATCCTGCCCCTCCTCTGCTCCCGCCTCGGCTCTCCGCCCCCCTCCTCCCCCTCGCCCCCCCCCCCTCCTGCCTCCCTGCCTCCCTCCCTCCCTCCCCTCCCTCCCCGCCCTTCGAACTTTCGCCGCGTGAGCGTCCGTGCCTCGTTCTCGACGAGGGCTGCCCAAGGCAGCAACGGGCGCCCACGGGCGGCCGCCTCCCGCCTCCTCCAGAGTTTTTTTTTTCGTGGTTCGCCCAGCGATGGCCTCCTCTCGTCTCCCCTCCCCCCTTTTTCTCTTCTTCGTCCTCCTGGGCTCCTCCTCCATTCCTCGATCCCCCCGCCTCCGCCCTCTCCCCTGCCTCCCTCCTCCGTCCCCTCCTCACTCCTCCTTCCCTCTGGCGGTCCCCCCCTCCTCCTTCCTCTTTCCTCTCCTTCCTCCCTCCTCCCCCTCTCTCCTCCTTCCTCCTTCCTCCTTCCTTCCTCACCCTCCCTCCCCATCCCTCCTCCTTCCCCCCCCTTCCTTCCTCCCCCTACCTCCCCTTCCTCCCTCCTCCTTCCTCCCATCTCCTTTCTCTCCCCTGTTCTTGTCGCGCCTCAGATGTAAGCGTTCCTCGCCCGTCGCTCGTCACGCCTTCTCCGCCCTTCCTCCCAACGAGGATCGTGGTTCGATGTCTTCTGGTCGTTCTTGTTTGCTTGTTTGTTTGTCGTGTCGTGTTTCAGAGGCTTGGAGGCCTCGAGGCCTTAGGAGGCCTTGGGGACCTCCAGGGGGGTCAAGGGACCTCTGGGAACCTTCAGACCTCTGGGGGAGGGGTGGAGGGACGGAGAGGAGGAGGAGGAGGAGGAGGATGGGGAGGAGGGGTGAATCCCTTTCTCCTCGCGCCTCCTCCCGTTCCCCTTCTTAGTCGCTTATTTCTTCTTTTTCTGAATCTTTCTTCGTATTCTTTGTCTGCGTCGCCCTGCTCTTTTGTCCCATTTTCCTCCCGCGCCTCCGTCGCAGCCTCTTCCTCCTCCTCTTCCTCCTCCTCCTCCTTCTCCTCCTCCTCCTCCTCCCCCTCCTCCTTGATCTCCTTCTCCTCCTCCTGCTCCTCCTCCTCCTCCTCCTCCTCCTCCTCCTCATCCTCCCCTCTCCCCCTGCTCCTCCCCGCCTCCTCCTCCTCCCTCCTCCCGTTACGTCCCTCTCCTCGCCGGCTCCCTACCCTCGCCCTGCCTTGCTGCCTTCCTCCTGCTGCTGCTGCTGCCGCCTCTCCGACGCCGAGCGCCGCCGCCGCCGACGACGACGACGACGACGACGACGATGACGCACCCCGAGAGGCTGCTCCGCGCCCGCGGCGACCGACGCCGACGCCGATGCGGCCGCCGTCGACGACGACGTCGACGCCGCCGTCGACGACGACGTTGACGATGACGACGCCGACGCCGACGCCGACGCCGACGCCGAAGACGCCGACGACGACGCCGACGCCGCCGACGACGACGACGTCGACGATGACATCGCCGACGCCGACGACGACGCCGACGCCGACGCCGCCACTGCCGACGACTGCGAAGTCGACGACGACGATGACGCCGACGCTGACGCCGACGCCGACGCCGTCTCCGCCGACGACGTCGACGATGATGACGACGAAGACGACGCCGATGCCGACGCCGACGAAGCCGCAGACGCCGACGCCGACGCCGACGCCGACGCCGCCGACGACGACGACGTCGACGATGACGACGACGCCGACGCCGACGCCGACGCCGACGCCGATGCCGCCGACGACGACGACGTCGACGACGACGACGACGCCGACGCCGACGCCGACGACGTCGACGATGACGACAGCGCGGACGCCGACGCAGACGCCGAAGCCGCTGCCGACGTCGACGCCGCCGACGCCCACGCCGCCGACGACGACGACGAAGAGGACGCCGACGCCCACGCCGACTCCGCCGCCGACGACGACGACGTCGACGATGACGACGACGACGACTACGCCGACGCCGACGCCGTTGACGCCGACGCCGACGCCGACGGCGACGCCGACGCCGACGCCGCCGCCGCCGCCGAAGACGACGTCGACGCCGACGACGACGTCGACGCCGATGCCGACGCCGCCTCCGCCGACGACGACGTCGACGATGACGACGACGATGACGCCGACGTCGATGCCGACGCCGACGCCGTCGACGACGACGTCGACGATGCCGACGCCGCCGACGACGACGACGACGTTGACGATGACGACGACGCCGACTACGCCGACGCTGACGCCGACGCCGACGCCGATGCCGACGCCGCCGACGCGATAACGACGACGACGGCGACGACGACGTCGACGATGACGACGACGACGCCGACGCCGACGCCGACGCCGAGGCCGCCGCCGCCGACGACGACGACGACGGCGACGCCGACGTCGCCGACGACGCCGACGCCGATGCCGCCGTCGATGACGTCGACGACCACGACGACGACGACGACGACGCCGACGCCGACGCCGCCGACGACGACGATGGCGTCGACGATGACGACGGCGACGACGACGACGACGACGATGACGCACCCCGAGAGGCTGCTCCACGCCCGCGGCGACCGGCGCCGACGCCGATGCCGCCGCCGTCGACGACGACGACGGCGACGCCGCCGTCGACGACGACGTTGACGATGACGACGCCGACGCCGACGCTGACGCCGACGCCGAAGACGCCGACGACGACGCCGACGCCGTCGACGACGACGACGGCGACGCCGACGGCGAAGCCGACGCCGACGCCGCCTCCGCCGACGACTGCGCCGACTCCGCCGCCGACGACGACGACGTCGACGCTGATGCGGACGCCGACGCCGTCTCCGCCGACGACGACGTCGACGATGACGACGACGACGATGCCGACGCCGCCGACGACGAAGCCGCCGACGCCGACGCCGAGCCGACGCCGCCGACGACGACGTCGACGATGACGACGACGCCGACGCCGACGCCGACGCCGACGCCGACGCCGCCGCCGACGACGACGACGAAGAGGACGCCGACGCCCACTCCGACACCGCCGCCGACGACGACGACGTCGACGATGACGACAACGACGACGACGACTACGCCGACGCCGACGCTGACGCCGACGCCGACGCCGATGACGACGCCGACGCCGATGCCGACGCCGCCTCCGCCGACGACGACGTCGACGATGACGACGACGACCCGCGACGCCGACGTCGACGCCGACGCGACGCCGACGACGTCAACGTCGACGACGCCGACGCCGCCGACGACGACGACGTTGACGATGACGACGACGCCGACTACGCCGACGCTGACGCCGGCGCCGACGCCGACGCCGATGCCGACGCCGACGCCGACGCCGCCGACGACGATGTCGACGACGACGACGACGACGCCGACGCCGACGCCGACGCCGACGCCGACGCCGCTGCCGCCGACGACACCGCCGCCGCCGACGACGTCGACGTCGACGATGACAACGACGCCGACGCCGACGCCGACGCCGACGCCGAGGCCGCCGCCGCCGAAGACGACGACGGCGACGCCGACGAAGACCTCGACGCCGACGGGTTTCGATAGGAGATCGAAGTTTAACTTATGGGAAAAAGGGGCCTCTTTCCTTATTTAGGGTTCCTTAGGTCAACGCCCCGACTGTATCGTTGCCCTTAGAGTCTGTTGCAGCGTTCCCTCCTCCCCGCTTCCTCCTCCTGCCATACTCCGCAGAGCCTCGCCCCTCCCGCTCGGTCTACGCGCGGCTGCGGTACGGGCAAGAGTACAGCGGCGACTGGATCGTCTCGTCGCCCAGGAACCTCGCCAACGTGAAGTACGAGCTCTACGACGCGTGCCTCGCCCGAGGTCGTCGAGGGTGGCTTTGGGTAGCGGAAGCAGGGTCTGGCAGAGGTCCCGGGGGCTCGATTCGAAGAAAGAGTGCGAGCCTTCGGAGGCTTGTGTGTTCACCGCTGGCAGTGCCTGGGGCTGCGCACTGACAGCCCCCCCCTGGGAGGCAGTTCAGGCTGGCGCCAAAGGCCTGCGTGGTGAACACAATTCTTGGCTGTGCGTAGCTCCTCGCTGACTCGTGAGCTCCCAGCTGTGGCGTCAACCGCATTCGCATTTTGCCTCTGCGTGCACGCGCGTGCAGTGTGCCTGCACCGCGCGCGATCGCCGTGATGGTGATGCTGCTGCTGCTGATTATGATGATGAGGATGCTAATGATGAGGATGATGAGGATGATGAGGATGATGAGGATGATGAGGATGATGAGGATGATGAGGATGATGCGGATGATGATGGTGTTGATGATGCTGCTGCTGATGAGGATGGCGATTCTGACGATGATGCTGATGATGATAATGATGATGAGGATGATGATGAGGATGATGATGAGGATGATGATGAGGATGAGGATGATGCTGATGCTGCTGATGATGATTCAGCTGGTGGTGGTGGTGATGGTGGTGCTGATGCTGATGCTGATGCTGATGCTGATGATGCTGATGATAATTTATGACGACGATGACGATGATGATGATGATGCTGATGATGATGATGATGATGATGATGATGATGATGATGACGATGCTGATGATGATGCTGCTGATGCTGATGATGATGCTGATGCTGATGCTGATGATGCTGCTGCTAATGATGCTGATGATTGTGATGCTGATGATGGTGGTGCCGATGCTTGTGCTGATGCTGCTGCTGTTGATGGCGATGACGATGATGGTGCTGATGATGATGACGATGATGACGATGATGATGATGGTGATGATCGTGCTGATGCTGATGCTGGTGATGATGATGCTGATGATGCTGCTGCTGATGATGATGATGACGATGATGATGATGATGATGAGGATGATGATGATGCTGATGATGATGATGCTGATGATGACTGATGATGATGATGATGCGGATGAATGCTGATGCGCTGATGATGATGATGATTAATAATGATGATGAGGATACTGATGATGATGATGATGCTGATGATGATGCTGATGATGATGATGATGATTGATGATGATGATGATGATGATGATGATGATGATGCTGATGCTGATGATGACGATGATGATGGTGATGATGATGATGATGATGCTGATGATGATGATGATGATGATGAGGAGGAGGAGGAGGAGGAGGATGGAGGAGGAGGAGGGGAGGAGAGGATGAGGAGGAGGAGGAGGAGGAGGAAGAGGATGGGGATGCGGATGAGGATGGGGATGACGATGAAGAGACAGGAGGAGGACGAGAGGAGGATGGGAGGATGACGAAAGGAGGACGGGAGCAGGACGGGAGGAGGACAGGAGGAGCAGAATCAAGCAAGTGCAAGCAAGCAAGCGGAAGCAAGCAAGCGCAAGCGAGCAATAACAAGCAAGCAAGAGCCAGCGATCAAGTGCAAGCATGAGCAAGCAAGCAAGAGCAAGCAAGCGAGAGCAAGCACGCACGAGCAAGCACGTGCCATTGGAAAAAGGGGGGGTGCCATTGGAAAGGGGGGGTTGCTAGGAGCGCTCAGAGGTGGTGCATAGGCATAGGCATAGGCCTAGGCATAGGCATAGGCATAGGCATAGGCATAGGCATAGGCATAGGCATAGGCACAGGCACAGGCACAGGCATAGGCATAGGCATAGGCATAGGCATAGCCATAGGCATAGGCATAGGCATAGGCATAGGCATAGGCATAGGCATAGACATAGGCATAGGCATAGGCACAGGCACAGGCATAGGCACAGGCACAGGCACAGGCACCCCAGGCATAGGCATAGGCATAGGCATAGGCATAGGCATAGGCATAGGCATAGGCATAGGCATAGGCATAGGCATCATAGGCATAGGCATAGGCATAGGCATAGGCATAGGCATAGGCATAGGCATAGGCATGGGCATGGGCATGGGCATGGGCATGGGCATGGGCATGGGCATGGGCATGGGCATGGGCATGGGCATGGGCATGGGCATGGGCATGGGCATGGGCATGGGCATGGGCATGGGCATAGGCATAGGCATAGGCACAGGCATAGGCATAGGCATAGGCATAGGCATAGGCATAGGCATAGGCATAGGCATAGGCATAGGCACAGACACAGGCACAAGCATAGGCATAGGCAGAGGCGTAGGCAGAGGAGTTAGGTGGGAGATATAGGCATAGGCATAGGCATAACCATAGGAATCACAGGGGGGGGGGCATAGGAATTAGGGGGGGGCAACGGACCAGTTAGTAGAGAACGAGTTAGAACTCCTCTAGGGCAAGCCTATTTGGATAATGTGTCGTAACAAGGTTCATCAAAGGTGTGATACCTTTTTTTCACCGCATCCCTCCCCGTGAAGGGGGCCCATTTCACGTCACAGCGGTGACAGGACCAGTCCTGGGGCAGGGCCTAACATCAACGGACATTGAGGCTGGAGTAGTGCAAGGGCGGACATTGAGGCTTGAGTATCTACCCCCAGCCTGGACGACACGGGCCGTAGCCGTTGCCGCCGCCGCTGGAGGCCACCAGCAAGGCAGAAGCCTTCTGGTGCAGTGCCTCGGCGCCCAGGGCCGCGAGCGCGGCCGTCGGCCCTGGGCTAGGACGGCTCTGGAGCGACGGACGACACAGCCGTGCAGGAGGGAGGGGGAAACACGAGCAGGAGGAAGACCAGCAAGGAAACACGAGCAGGAGGAGCAGCAGGAAGCACAGGCAGGATCAAAGCGAGCCGTCAGTCTTGGAAGAGGAGGAGGAGGAGGAGGAGGAGGAGGAGGAGGAGGAGGAGGAGGAGGAGGGGAGGAGGAGGAGGAGGAGGAGGAGGAGGAGGAGGAGGAGGAGGAGGCACAAGCGGGGTGAGCAGGCAGGATCCTCCTCGGGCCCTCCCTCCGCCGTGCCGTGGGGGGGCCCGTCGAGGCCCAGGGGCCCCCCGCTCCAGAGATGCCTCCCCGCGGTCGGGCGTGGGCGCCTCTGCAAGCGAGGAGGGGAAGGAGGAGGAGGAGGAGGAGGAAGAGGAGGAGGAGGAGGAGCAGGAGGAGGAGGAGGCGGAGGAGGAGGCGGAGGAGGAAGAGGAGGAGGAGGAGGAGGAGGAGGAGGAGGAGGAGGAGGAGGGAGGAAGGGAAGGAGGAGCCGCGGGAGGGGAGATCCCATCACCGCCCTCAACAAGATGGGGGCTGCAGGCTTCAGACCATGTGACGGGCTTAGGGTGGCGTGTTCGCGGGGTGCCTTGGCCTGCCGCACGCATGTTCGGAGGAGGAGGATGCACCAAAGCGGCTCCTTTCATGCTTTTAGGGCCCTCGAGATTGACATCCTGATCAGACCAGGCCTGGGGGTCGATTGTGAAGGATGATGAGAAGGAACAAGAGGTATTTCGTTTTGTCAGTTTCAGGGGTTCCGCAAGGTTCTGGGGGGTTCCGGGGTCTGGGGGGGCCACAAGGCAAAGGGTCTCTCATGGCCCTCTCCCGCCCACTCCCCTCCTAATCCTCTTTTCGTCCTTTGCGCCTTCCGTTCCTCTCCCTCGCGACTTGCCATTACGGTATCATTCCTCGTTCTCTACTCTCTTCCAGTCCCACCTCTCTGTGTCAGCGAGGCAGGGGCGCGTGTGATGGGTGGTTTTCATATGTCGAGGATGCACAGCTACCGCCGGCCCCACTGATGGGTGGCAGTACGTGTCTTTATGTCTGTGTGTCTTTGCTACTAGCCGCCGACGTAACAAGTGTGTCCCTGTGTGTGGGTGTGTGTGTGTGTGCATGTGTATGTGTGTGTGGTTGGACTGTTCGGCCGATGTATAACGCGACGTGTGGATGGACGGATTGATGAGCGGAGTGATCGACTGACGTGATTGTTGTTCTGCTTTGAATTTTGATTGGTATTTTCTCCATTTGTTCACGGCTGAGTGTTTTCACGGATTCGGGTGTTGAAATGTGTCTTTAAGTAGTTCCTCAGAGTTTTGAAACTTTCGGTGGGATCGACGACATGGTATGCATGCGCCCATCATGACCATCCCGTGTTTTTTCCCAACGTTTACGGTGTGGAGGTCAGCATGCACCCCCCTGAGCGCGGTCGTTTTCGGACAAATCCGTGGCACTCAGCCCCCCTGGGGTCCAAGCCAAGTCAAGTCAAGTCAAGTCCTCCCGAGGAGCCTATGAAGGCCCCTCGCTCGGCAAGCGGAGACGGAAGGCGTGAGACAATACGGCAGCAAACACGCGAATGCAAGAGATAATTCGCAGATAGGGCTAAAGAGCAAGGTTAACACATTTTCCACTGTCCGTGTCGTGTGGCCGATGCGAGGGTTCACAGCAGAAGGATTGACCGTCGGCCGAAGCTGGGGACCCCGGGAAGCTCGAAGATCGACATTTGGGAAATACGCCTTGCGGCACTGGGCACGAATGCAGGAGGAGGAGGAGGAGGAGGAGGAGGAGGAAAACGATGTGTGTTGCAGTGCAAGAGGTGGCGTATTTACGGCCCGGATGTGGCCAAACTTGCGCAAGCAAACATACATCGCGGGTACGAAAGGTTTGACCCATTTCGTCCCACTAAGACAATGCCGAACGAATACTCCAACGAAATGCGCGGTTGGACTTGTAATTTAGAGTTCTTCTTGGGCGGAATCGCCATTTCGACTTTGAAGCGAATAGGTGTCGCCTTCTGTTTTGGAGAAAGTCCTCGGCGGAATCGCCATTCCAACGTCGAGCCCAAAAGGGTTCGCATTCATATTTGGAGGACATCGTCGGCGGAATCGCCATTTCGGCTTTGAAGCGAATAGGTTCCTACTTCTGTTTTAGAAGGCCTGGTCGGAATCCCCATTTCGACTTTGAACCCGAAAAGGGTTCGAATTGAGATTTGGACGAAGTCCTGGGCGTAATCGCCATTTGAACTTTGAACCGAATGGGTTTCGACTTCTGTTTTGGAGGACGTATTGGGCGGAGCCGCTATTTCTATTTCGAACTCGATTTCGGTCGTGGCATTTACAAGTCAAATTCCGTAGCCCAACAAGTATAAAGTGATTTTTTTTCGCTTGTGTCTCCTTCTTCTTCTTCAAAACAAAAAGATTCCGATCCGATGGCGAAACCCGTCGGCCCGAAGTCGAAAGTGCAGTTCCGCCCAACACTTCTTTGGAGGCGAGGTTCGACGAAATCGAACCCCCCCGAGTCCGAAGTCCAGACTGCACGGAGCTGTTTTTTCGCCAGGCGAAGCAGCGAGACGCACCATCTGGCAGCACCGCACCTGGGCCCCGTCGCCCGACGGGCCCCCCCTCTCGAGCTGCCATCCGATGACAGTCTTGCACGGGGCCCCGCCGCTGAACGGGGCTCCTCCCTCCTCCTCCTCCCTCCTCCCTCCTCCTCCCTCCTCCCTCCTCTCATCCCTCCTCCCTCTCCCCCTCCTCCCTCCTCCCTCCTCCCTCCTCCCTCCTCCCTCCTCCCTCCTCCCTCCTCCCGCTGACAGTTGAAGGTTGGCCACATTTCCGCAGCGGCGAAGCATCATGCGTTATGCGTTCCACCTGTTTTCGTAAAAGAGCACGCAGCAGTTGAGGATGGTGATTTCGACGCGCCGTCGACGGCAACACCACTTCGCTCTCCCTCCGGGACTTCGCCTCCGGCTCCTGTGCATGGCGTACCTTTTTCCTGTGCAAGCTCTTCGGCACCGCCTGTACTCTGCACCCTCCGGCCGCCTGAGGCCCCGCCCGCCCGCGCCCTGTCTCCCCAATTAGTGCTTCGCGCGCCCCGCCTAGCTCTTAACCGGAAGAGGCCCACTCTCGACCCGCCGACCAAAAAAACGTTTTCGTGGAAAAACTTCCAACGCTCCTGGCTGCGGATGGCCTTCATGGTGTTGATACCGTACTCCTGTCGCAGAAAGTCATCGACGGCATCTGTCCATCTCCGCCGCGGCCGACCTAGGCGTCTGGCGTCCTGGCGCCAACGTAGACCTTGCGCAGGCCACTCTTGGGAGTCGCCAGTGGCAAGTCGTGGCACGAGGCGCCGCAAGGAACGGTCCATCACGACGAGCCAGTCCGACACGGGAGATAGGAGAAGAGTAGCACGTGGCTTCTGCTTGCAGCATCGCCCCGCTTCCTCCCAGCTTTGGTTGGGAAGCTTGCAGACGCCAACTATCCAGCGGAGCATTTTTGTAGGCGTCGATGCTATTCGTGAGCAATGCTGTGCTGTCGTGGGTGTCGATGTAAGACCGTAGTAGACAGCAGTGGGCGTAACGGCCGCGTCGAAAAGCTTCAGACGAAGGTGCACCACTAGAGCTTTATTCGATAGTACTTCTTCGTGGGAATGGAACTTCCCCCATGCGCACTCCATGCGATGATTGACGTTGCACGCTGATCTGCCGCGCAAGTCGCCCCCGAATTTCTTGCCCAGATTCTTGTGGAACACCTGGGATGTCATGACAGGCGACGGGAAACGGGCAAGCTGCAGAACGAGAGGTGCTTCGATATGTGAAAAAGCAACGTTGTTAGTACAGATTCGCCTTTTCTTGGCATTCCATGACAGCCCGCCTGCTGTCAATTCTTCCGCAAGATCTAAGGCGACTCGTTGGGCGGACAGTCACTTTTTAAGTCGGCGGCGCCGAGGGTCCTCAGGCGCGGGCAGCAGATGGAGGTGCTAGTCGCAGCTGGACTTGGCCGAACGCACAGCGTTGCGAAGCGTCGCACGCTGTAAACTGCAAAAGACTGGTGGTGTAGTGATGGGACTGTAGCCCCAGAAGCGTGCAGCGGCCAGAACCCGAGGAGAACGCAGAACGAACTCGACTCAGGGTGATCTGCGGGCAGTCACACACACACACTCTGCGTCGGCGGCTGGGTAGAGGGCGACTGCTCCGGCAGATAGGCAACAGGGGACACGCTGTATGCAAATTCGGGCCGCAATGCACCGAAGGAGGAGGAGGAGGAGAAGCCCCAGGCGCGACGGGAATTGAGGAAGCCAGGCCACTCAGAGCCGCCGACTGCGGCGGCGGGAGCGCCGAGGCGGAAGACCAGCGCTGGCACTGAGCTGCACTGGGCTGCACTGAGCTGAAGCTGGGGGGGAGGCAGAAAGTCACACGCACACACACACACACCGAGACGGGCAGGCCACCCCTTCCGTGATGTGCCCGACGGGGGGAGGGGAGGGGCGAGGGGGGAGAGGGCGAGGGGAGGCCCCGGGAGGTCCCCGAGCCGACCCCCGGATGGTTTTTTCGGCCTATGACGCCACCGCACCAGGGCCATGGATCCGAGGAGGGAGGAGGAGGAGGAGGAGGAGGAGGAGGAGGAGGAGGAGGAGGAGGCGGAGGAGGAGGAGGAGGAGGAGGGGGAGGAGGAGGAGGAGGAGGCGGAGGATCCTGAGCTCCCGGCGTCGCATTTGTTTTCACTGCGGGCGCTCTTGCAGGGCTGCGGGCCCCAGGGGGCCCTCACAGGTCGACCCGGCTCGAAAAACGACGCAGGCAGGTGGGGTACAGGGCTCCAGCCTTTTTTTTTTTTTTTTTTTTTTTTTTTTTTTTTTTTTTTTTTTTTTTTTTTTTTTTTTTTTTTTTTTTTTTTTTTTTTTTTTTTTTATTTATTTATTTGTTAGTGTACATATATATATGTATATACATATATATATATATTTATATATATATATATTCTTAAAAAAGTATATATATATATACACAGGTTTTGATATATTATTATTTATTGTATTTTGGTCGATGCCGCGCAATTCTTTCGCAGGCGCCCGCCTCGTTACCCTGGCCCTGGGGCACTCGGTCTTCTTTTCGGCATCAGGTGCCACCAGGACGCTGCAGGCATCACGCTGAGCGTAGGTCCGCGCCAGAAGAGGATGAGGGCGCCCACCGAGGCACAGACCCCCCCGAGATCCCGGTCTCCTCCCGCTGCAACTCCGACTCCTGGGAGATCATGATGTACAAGGACCCGCGCCTGCCTCCCGCCTCGGCCTCCTCCTCCTGGCGCAGCGAGGGCTACACCCGGATCATGAGCGAGCACATTTAATCATATTATTACTAATGCGAATATTACGAGTACTAATATGAAGAAGCAGCACACGAATATTAAGACGATTAATAGCCATACTACTAATACTACTGATAATAATCACACTAAGAATAGTATGAACAATGCTACAAGGAAGATTAAGCATATGAATGAACTTACCAAGAAAGAACAATCATACGCATAGCAACAATAATAACAGTAGTAATAATAATCAAATGAAGAAGACTGATATTTGGAAGAAACGAAGTTATTCGGAATACATTAATATTACTATTACTAGCATTAATAATGCGAATGGTAATACTAGCACCAAGACTACTAATGCGAATCACAATAGTACGAATACTCGTAATAATAGTCCTGGTAAGAAGATAACTCGATCGAGTAATAGTAATAATAAGATGAACATGCAAATCGTGCAACAACTAATCATATATTCAGAAGAATACTAAGAATACGAGTGCTACGAATACAAATCATAATATGGGGAACCCTGATACGAATACTACGTATGACAAGCACACTATTAGCATTCACAATGCGAAAGATACTACTCATAGTATTCGTAGGAATACTAACAACAATACGAACAAACCGAACACTAGTACTACGACTAGTAATAATACTAATAATGATACTGCTATTAAGCTGAATGTTAAGACTAACGCTCCTAGTACTACTGTCATTGATACTCCTAGTATTCGTAGTAGTAGTAGTAGTACTACTACTACTGCTGCTGCTACTACTACTACTACTAGTACTACTACTACGACTACGGCGACTACGACTACGACTACGACTACGACTGCGACTACGACTACGACTACGACTACGACTACTACTACTACTACTACAACTACTACTACTACTACTACTACTAGTGCTGCTACTGCTGCTACTACTACTACTACTACTACCACCGCCACTACTACTACAACTACTACTACTTCTACTACTACTACTTCTACTACTACTACTACTAATGATAATAATATTATGCATATTATTAACACCAAAAATAATATCACTAATAATAGTAGCAGTAATACTGTTAATAAAAAATGGTATTAGCACTACTACTACCACTAATACTAATATCAACACTAGTATTACTTATACTACTACTAATAATAACAGTAATAATAATAATAGTAATAATAATACCAATAACATTATTAGTATCACTCTTACTAATAATAGTAGTATTAACATTTATAATATGGTTAAGCACCGTACTAATATTAATACTAATCATAATGCCACTAGTACTATTATTATTGTTATTATTATTATTATTATTACTACTACTACTAATACTACTGATAATAACAATGCTAGTAATACTAATAATTATACCAAGGCTACTACTAATGATACTAATACTACTACTAATAGTAATACTACTAATATTAATAATGCCAATACTACTACTAAGACTAATACTAATACTAATACTACTGATAACGAGAGTGGAGATGCGATGCATAATCATAAAACGAGGAGGAGGAAGACGAGGAGGAGGAGGAGAAGGAGGAGGAGGAGGAGGAGGAGGAGGAGGAGGAGGAGGAGAGGAGGAGGAGGAGGGAGGAGGGAGGAGGGGAGGGAGGAGGGAGGAGGAGGAGGGAGGAGGGAGGAGGGAGGAGGGGAGGAGGGAGGGCGGGATGAAGGAGGAGGGAGGAGGGAGGAGGGAGGAGGGGAGGGGGAGGAGGGAGGAGTGGAGGAGGGAGGGAGGAGGGAGGAGGGAGGGAGGAGGAGGTGGGAGGAGGGAGGAGGGAGGGGGAGGAGGGAGGAGGGAGGAGGAGGAGGGAGGAGGGGAGGAGGGAGGAGGGGAGGAGGGAGGAGGAGGAGGAGGGAGGAGGGAGGAGGGAGGAGGAGGGAGGAGGGAGGAGGGTGGTAGGAGAGGAGGAGGGAGGGCGGAGGGAGGATGGAGGAGGGAGGATGGAGGAGGGAGGAGGGAGGAGGGAGGAGGGAGGAGGGAGGAGGGAGGGGGGAGGAGGGAGGGGGGTGGAGGAGGAGGAGGAGGAGGAGGAGGAGGAGCAGGAGCAGGAGCAGGAGGAGCAGGAGGAGCAGCAGGAGGAGGAGGAGGAGGAGGAATACTAGGAATAATACTAGTACTAATAATACCTATAATAATGATAACAATAATCATAAAACTAAACATGATAATACTAAGACGAAGAATAATAATACTAATACGAATAACAATACTAATAATAATGCTACTACGAAGAAGAATACGAATAATAATAATAAGAACACAAATAATACTAATACGAATGGTACTACGACTAATACTCATACGGAGAATAATAATCATAAGAATAATAAGACTAATACTAATAAGACTAATACGAATAATACTAAGATTATGAATACTAATAAGGCGACTCATAAGACTAATAAGAAGAAGAGCAATAATAACAATAATAATACTAAGACTAAGAATATTAAGAATACTAAGACGAGTAAGACTAATACTAATAATAATACTAATAATAGTATTAATACTAATAGTACTGATAATACTACTAATAATACTAATACTACTACTACTAATAATACTAATAAAAATAATCATAATACTACTACTAATGATAATACTAGTACTCATACTACTACTAATACTAATGATAATAATAAGAAGAAGCATACTAATACGAATAATGCTAATAATACTAAGAATAATAATATTAACACTAATATTACTACTAAGAATAAGAATACGGATACTACTAATAATAATACCAATAAGAATAATAAGAATACGAATATTCATACGAATCATAATAATAAACAGAATAATAATAATAAGAATAAGAATAGCAACAATAATAATACTAATAATAAGAAGACGAATAGTAATACTACTAATACGAAGACTATTAAGAATAAACATGCTAATAAGAATAAGAAGAATAATACTACGAATAATAAGAATACTAAGAATAATAAGAATAATAAGAATACGAACAATCATAATACTAAGACGAATAAGAATAAAAAGAATGATAATACGAAGAATAAGACTAATGATAATAATATTATTATTGTTGATACTAATATTACTAATACTACTAATAATAATAACACTACTAATAATAGTAGTAATAATACTAATGGTAATAATACTAGTAATAATACTAGTAATAATAATACCACTACTACTAATACTAATAATAATACCAATAATAATGCTACTAATAATACTAATCATAATACTAATACTAATAATAATAATGATAATAATAATATTATTAATAATAATACAAATAATAATAATATTAAGAATAATAATGATAATAATAATAATAATAGTAATATTAATAATAATAATACTAATAATACTAATAATAATAATAATATTAATAATAATAATAATACTAATAATACTAATAATACTAATAATAATTATACTACTACAAATAATAATGCTAATACGAATAATAATAATCATAAGAAGAGGAGGAGGAGGAGGCGGAGGAGGAGGAGGAGGAGGAGGCGGAGGGGAGGAGGAGGAGGAGGAAGAGGAGGAGGAGGAGGGAGACCCCCCCGGGGCTCCTCCCTGGCCTCCTCGGCTCCCCCCCGAACCGAGCGCCAGGACGTGTGGCAGTGAGCCCTGGCGGCGGGCTCCGCCCGCGCCTCCGCGCCCCGCGCGGGCGCGCCTCTGCGGCCGCTTCCCCCGCACGCCACCTCTCGGGCCCTCCTCCTTCGACCGAGTGCGGGTCCTACCCGTGCGGGCCTAATCGAAGTCGGGGTATAATCGGACGCCTCCGCCTCGTGTTCATTTCGCTGCGGGGGAGGGAGGGAGGAGGGAGGGAGGGATGGAGGGAGGGAGGTACGAAAGGAGAGGGAGGGAGGGAGGGATGGAGGACGGGAGGACGAGGAGGAGGAGGAGGAGGGAGGAGGAGGAGGAGAGGAGGAGGAGGAGGAGGAGGAGGAGTGGAGGAGGAGGAGGGAGGAGGGAGGAGGGAGGACGGAGGAGGAGGAGGAAGGAGGAGGAGGAGGGGAGGAGGAGGAGGAGCAGGAGGAGAAAAGCGAGGAGGGGGAGGGGAGGATGGAGGAGAGGAGAGACGAGGGAGGTGGGAGGAGGGAGGAGGGCGAAGGGGCGGAGGGCGGAGGGAGGAGGGAGGAGGGAGGAGTACGGAGGGAGGAGGGAAGGGAGGACGGAGTAATTAGGAGGGAGGAGGGAGGAGGGAGGATGGAGGAGAGGAGGGAGGAGGAAGGAGGGACAACGGAAGAAGCAGGGCGCAGAGCGGAGGCGGAGGGATGGCGGAGGGCGGGGGGCGGAGGGCGAAGGGGGGGAGGGCGGGGGAGGGAGGAGGGAGGGAGGAGGGAGGAGGGAAAGAGGGCGGAGGGAGGTGGGAGGAGGGTGGGGGGAGGGAGGAGGGAGTATGAGGGAGGAGGGAGGAGGGTGGAGGGGGAGGGAGGGGGAGAAGGGAGGGAGGAGGAGAGGATGGACGAGGGCGGGCCAGGGAATTGGAGAGGAGCGGGAGGCGGGAGGTTGGGAGGCGGGAATGGGGGAGGCGGGAGGCGGGAGGCGGGGAGGAGGGAGGAAGAGGAGGGAGGAAGGAGGAGGGAGGAGGAAGGAGGGAGGCGGGAGGAGGGAGGATGGAGGAGGGAGGGCCAAGGAGGAATTGTGAGGGAGGAGGAATGCGGTATGCGGGGTGGGTGCGGGATGCGGGAGGCGGGAGGCTGAAGGCGGGAGGCGGGGGCGGAAGGCGGGAGGCGGGAGGAGGGAGGCGGGAGGCGGGAGGAGGGAGGAGGGAGGTGGGATGAGGGAGGAGGGAGGAGGGAGAAGGGAGGACGGAGGATGAAAGAGGGAGGGAGGCGGGAGGAGGGAGGAAGGAGGAGGGAGGAGGGAGGAGGGAGGAGGGAGGAGGGGGAAGGGAGGACGGAGGGCCGGAGGGAGGGCGGGAGGGATGGAGGGATGGATGGAGGGAGGACTGTCGTGAGACAACGTCCAGGATTGTCGTGAGACAATGTCCTCGGCGAGCAGAGCTGGCCGCGTGGTCCAAACGCCTCCTCATGCTCAGCATGGTCGTGCCGTGAACATCGTAGACTTGATGACCGTAGTGGCCCGCTGGCTGGGCGCCTGCCACCTCCAACTTCATCGTCGGTCTGTAGCGGCGGCTGGCCCTAGCGAAGCGGACGATGCGGCCGTGCATGGTGGTCGCCTTGCTCACTCGCCTGCGCTGAGTGGCCCTGGCGTGACGACCAGCGCCCGTGTCCAACCCGAGAAAGCTTGACTGCAGAGCTGCTCTCTTCCGTCACATCATGCCGCCTGAGCCGTGTCACAATGAGCTTGGCATCTTGACGGCGTGAGCAAATGATGACGCTCTTACTTGCCAGCTGCAATCCTTCTCGATCCAAACACTCGCTGGCCTGAAGAAAAACTTGGAAACATGTTTTCCTGATGTGCTTCCTCGAGCCACCTGCACATTGCGACAGATCATCAATACACAGCCTCATATCAACTGAAGGATGGGCGACCGACAGCTTGGTTATAATGAAGCATGTGATGCAGCGGGTGGAACGGGTCCTGCTGCGCAACCCTTGGATCATGCTGCGGCTTGGCTGAAAGGCCTCCGAGTAGCAATCGCCTTACGCCAGCGTCCCAGGCGCTAGGCACAGTTGCAACTCGAGGAAAATGGCAACGGGCGGAAAGCCCAAGGCCAGCGCCGTCTTGACCAACCGAAGTCAACATGACCACTGGCCGAGAATTGCATAGCTGGTCCCGCGTGCCGCGCGGACGACCGATTAGGACGCAGAAGTGCCCTGATGCGGACTCGCTGGCCTTCGTGAGCTCCCTGGAATGGCTGGCCAGCGAAGTAAGAACGACAGCGTTGGAGAAGGGTTCCCAGGGCGACGCTGCGTCAAATCGAGAACAAATTCAATGGATCATCGCGTTGACATCGGCTCGACAAAGACGATGACGAAGATGACGTTGACAATCTCAAGTGACCCATGCGGAGTGATTGCGCTGTGACTGGGTCCAAGTTGGAGTAGTTTCCGCGCTTTTTTCATGGAACGGAGTAATTCGCACGCCATAGTATATATATATATATATATATGCCTCTTCGAATATTCTTCTAGCGGAAAACCCCCCTTCTGACCCCCCCGTACATAAATTCGGCCTTGGGCGCTCCCACAGACGTCAAATCCGAGTTTCGGTTTCGGGAGCCTCTCCCTGCCATCCCCGGACGGCCCCGCAAAGCCTCAAGGCGGCCCAAAACCGCCCTAGGTCGGCTCATGAGCGCTCAAAGAGACCTCAAGGTGGCTTCAAGACGGCCCAAGATGCTCTCAAGACGCCCCAAGAGGCCCCCAAGAAGACCCCCAAGATGTCAAAATCGTCCCATCCCCTTGGGAAGACGTAATTTTTTAGCATACCCGCTTCTTTCGCCTTCACCGCGTCCAAGACGGCCCAAGAAGCCCCCAAGATCGCCCCAGGACGGCCCAAGAAGCCCCCAAGGGAGCCCTAAGACAGCCCAAAGGGGCTCCAAAACGACCCAAGAGAGCCCCAGGACGGCCCCCAAGAGCACCAAAAGGTTCCCCAGAGAGCCCCAAGAAGGCCGCAGGAGGCCCCCAAGAAAAACCAAGTGGGCCCCAAGACGGCCCAAGCCCCCCAGGACGGCCCAAGAGGGTCCCGGGACGGCCCAGGAGGGCCGCCAGACAGCCCAAAAGAGCTTCAAAAGGAGCCCCACGAGAGCCCCGAGAGGCCATACCCCTATCAGTCGTACGAGGCCTCTCGCCCCCACAAGCCCTACGACCACCATGGTTCCTCATGGTGCCCCATGAGCCCTGTGAGGCCTGGGAACCCTGACGCCTCCAGAGCTCTCACCCGCACACGCCGCGAGACCCCGAAGGGCCCCCCAACTCATAATCCAGATTACGGGTGTACCGCCATGGGCGGTGCGGCAGCATGCACACGTTGGCTCTTCATTGTCGGTGGAGGGGTGAGGAGGCATGCACACGTTGGTTCTCCATCCTATGAGCCCTATGAGCCCTAAGAGCCTGATGAGCCCTGTGAGCCCTATGAGCCCTACGAGCCCTATGGGCTTTATGAGCTCTATGCGCCCTATGAGCCCGATGACCCCTATGAACCCATGAGCCCTATGAGCCTTATGAGCCCTATGAGCCCAATGAGCCCTATGAGTCCTATGAGCTCGATGACTCCAACGAGCCCATGAGCTCTATGAGCCATATGAGCCCTATGAGCCTCATGCGCCTTATGAACCCTATGAGCCCTATGAGCTTTATGAGCCCTATGAGCCCCATGAGCCCTATGAGCCCTATGAGCCCTAAGAGCCCTATGAGCCTTATGAGCTCTATGAGCCCTTTGAGCCCAATGAACCCTATAAGCCCTATGGACTTTATCAGCCCTATGCGCCCTATGAGCCCGATGACCCGACGACCCCTATGAGCCCTATGAGCTTTATGAGCCATATGAGCCTCATTCGCCTTATGCGCCCGATGAGCCCTATGAGCCCTATGAGCCTACTGAGCCCCATGAGCCCTATGAGCCCTATGAGCCCTATGGGCCTTATGAGTCCTATGGGCTCTATGTGGCCTATGAACCCTATGGGCCCAATGAGCCCTTTAAGCACTACGAGCCCATTTGCCGTATGAGCCCTAGGAGCCCTATGAGCTCTGTGAGCCCTATGGGCCCTATGAGCCCTATGACCCCCACGAACCGTATTACTCCAATGAGCCCTAGGAGCCCAATGAGCCTTAAGTGCCCTACGAGCCCATGAGCTCCCCGAGCTCCATGAGCCCCATGAGCCTGATGAGCCCTTTGAGGCCTATAAGCACTAGAAGCCACATGACCTTTACGAGCTCACGAGCCCCAGGAGCCCTATGAACTCAATGAGCCGAGCCCCATACCCCCCCGACCCTCCATGACACCATATGAGCATGATGACCCCTATGAGGCCTATGCACCCTATGAGCCCTAGAACCCCCTCATCACTAGGAGCCGTGAAGCATTGCGTTGCGAGACGCATGAGAGCCCCTCTGGGCCCTACGAGCCCAGTGAGCCGTATGCGGCCTATGGGCCCTATGAGCCCTCTGGCCCCGACTTGCCCTTCACCCCAATCGGCCCCATGAGCCTTACGAGGCCTACGCGCTCTGTTAGCGCTATGGGCCCTATGGCCCCCCGGAGCATTGCGAGCTCTATGAGCCCAGTGGCCCCCAAGAGCTGATGACTCCAAGGAGCCCCAGGACCCTAAGAAGCACCATGAGCCTCCTATGACCCCCATGACCTCTGTAAATGCCACTCAGCATTATGAGCCCCGTGCCGGATGTGCACAAACAGTCCTATGACCCCAACTAACCCCATGAGCCTTGTGAACCCTGTGAGTCTCATGACCCCCTCAAGCCGCATTGGCAGCATAACCCCTCGCCCTTGGGCCCCATGACGGCAGAGACCCTTTTCTGAACTCTTTGAGCCGCAATATTCCCCTGGGTCCTATCAGCCCTGTTTGCTCCATGGTGTCCATGGCCAGAACACACCGCGGCTGTGACGACAACCGATCTCATCGCGCCTCCCTGGCGCCATGCGACCAAGATTGTAAAGGCGAAGCGCAGCGAGCCGGTAACATCTTGTACATGTGTGTGTATATATATATATATATATATATATATATATTAGGATGTGGTTACAGGGTACGAGCCCATCGGATTCGGACCGCTCCCTGGCCAGCAACTTGTCACTCGTATTCTACGGGGGCGGGGGGGGGTCGGGGGGGTCAAAGCTCGACGTCTTATGGTCGAA